TGTTGGTAGCCACGATCAACTACGTGATACCATTAATCATTTTTTTATAGATTGGGAGTCTAACTTGGTTAATGTAAAGTCAATTATATGAAATGGAGTTTGATTAAGTAGAAGGGTCGCACGCTTTAAGAAAGGACTCATGTGACGACCCTTTTCCATCTTGGGAGCGGATTACTACTAATGCGTTCATTATCATTAAATAAATTTAGCAATCAGAAAATAATGTACATGCTAGTAATGGCATGAGAAATTCACATATGATTTTTTATGTGGTCTTTTTTCAAGAAAAGACCAGCTGCATTTTATTATAACATACTTGTCATTACCATGTAATTTATTTTTTAGCATAGTACATTGTTACATGGCACTTTTCTCCTTGTACAAAGTAGAAACTCTAGTTCTTGGTTTCTGCTTTGGCTTGATTTTGCTCATAGGCTTTAGCTTCTTCCGCGTTGAGGCAGCACTTGCAACCTCCTTTGCCACCATATCCTCCGCAGCAACCATATTTGCAACCTCCTCCATGGCCACTGCCACCTCCATGTCCGCCACCTTGGCCCCCACCCTGTCCTCCACCATGACCACCACCATGGCCGCTGCCCGAACCGCCGTCTTGGGCATTGTTCTCATCCACAGTATCTGCTAGCTCGGCCTCATTTGCTGCATAGACATAGCTCTTTTGTTAGGCGTATCCAGAATTAAGCTTAAAATCGATAAACACCCTTAAATTGTTCTGTAAACTTGATCATTCAATTCTCACCATTTCGGCAACAGTATCTATTACAGCCATTGCGGCCCCATCCACCACAACACCACCGGTTTCTGCAGTAACCACCACCACCTCCACCTTGGTTAGTTTGCTTTGGTTCATTACTTTCCTCTACTGCCTCAACTTCATTTCCTGCACGGAAAATTATAATTACATTGTTAATCATCTAGTTAAAGTTTCAAACCTAAAAGCTTAATATATATCCTGCCAATTGAGTATTCCTTTTTCGCTTGGTACATGTCTAACCATTTCGACAACAATATCTATTACAGCCATTGCGGCCCCAGCCTCCGCAGCACCATCGGTTTCTACAGTAACCACCACCACCTCCACCTCCACCTTGGTTAGTTTGCTTCGGTTCATTGCTTTCCTCTACTGCCTCAACTTCATTTTCTGCATGGGAAATTATAAATATATTGTTACTCAACTTGTTAAAATTTCAAACCTCATGCCAATTAACCTTTATTTATTTATTTTGCTTGGTACGGTCTAACCATTTCGACAACAGTATCTATAACAGCCATTGCGGCCCCAGCCTCCG